ATGCCCTATAATAAAGGTGTTTTTTATTTTGTGTATATATAACTGCAACGCCCAGAGAACTCTTTTTGGTGCTCCCAAAGCTTCTATGCTAGGGATCACTTTTAGTTTTAGGGTTTTGTATACATCCAAGGGTTATCCCCTTTATAGGGTTCTGTGGACACACTGCAGATTCCAATATTTAGTAATTTTTCATGTCTGTCTGTTCTACTTACATACAATTCCTCAGGCCAGAGGCACACAAAGGACAAAAGAAAAAAATCAGAACAATACAACAATGTCTGACAATCCCCCCTCTGCCTGTGATACAATTAACAAAAAAACATACATTTTTACAAACCCCCAAAAGTACCCCAAAATACAAAACATCCCCTGATAGCCCAGATCTGGGTGAACAACATATCCAAAAATCACCCAGATCGGTTCAGGAATTTCCTGGAAGTCTTATTTTTGCCCCACCGTGCACATGGTCTCATGCCCAAAACAGTTCCATACACTCGACCACAAAACACAGCTGGACAATTTAAGATGGCCGCCACCACGTTTGAATCTGTTCCAGTTAAAAGTCCAAGGGGCAGAAACAGTACTTTTGAACATGGGTTAACACAGGGCCCATAGTCCCGGTGTAGGAGGCTGGCAAAAAGGCCCCTCCAAAAACCAGTGGCGAAGTGGATTTCATCACAGTGTGTAATCAGCAGTCTGTATGTATGTATTGTTGGAGATATTAATAAATATAAGCTTACTTTTAATTATAATTAAAAATTGTATTCCTGTGAGTTGTGTGTAGGCAGGGCCCCAGTGCACTGCTTTGCCCGGGGGCCCATAATGTTGTTAAGATAGCACTGGGGTGAATACCGTCAGGCCCTGGTGCTTCTTTACTTGCTGTAGCAACTTGTCTTGAGTCCTGCAATAACAATTTCACTGCAGCAGTCATTTGCATATCTCTTGCCATAGGTTCCTTCTTAATATATACTGAGGAAAAAAAAAGTTATTTAACTTGTGTGTATTCATACCATGATTAATCAAAACTTTTTTTTTTTTTTTTTGCAGACAACAGAAGAAACATGCCGCATCTTAGAAGGCTTGGGGTATGCCTGTGAATGCAGAGGACTTATCAATGTCAAAGGAAAGGGAGAACTCAGGACATATTTCGTATGTACAGACATGGCCAAATCCCAGACCACTGGCATGAATTAACCTTCTGGTTTTATCTGCTGCCTAATTTTACATGAAGAAATTGAATTGGACCATTTCCGATGCCACTGGCAAATAGTATTTATTTGGGGGCGTGTTTTTTTTTTTTTTAATATAAATTCCTCCAGAATCTTGTACAGAGTACATAGGACTGGTTTACAAAGGTGACCTCTCTGTCTTACGCCAAGAAGACAGTATTTCTGAAAGAAATGAAGTTTAGTTGTGAAGAAGTAAATACCAGGCAGTGTTTCAAGCTCTACATTTAAAAAACAAAAACAAAAAAACAAACTTTTGAAAGAAAAATTATTCAGGATTGCACCTTCATGGCTACATCCACAAGTTAAAGTATGCGATCATTTATACTTGTTAAAAATGTGCCTTGCTTAGCAAAAGTGTGACTTTTGAAGCAGCCAATGGACACCGGAGCTATACTGAGTTATTGTCTAGTACTGTGATCCTTTTTTGTCATGGCTAATGTCTGTAGACTACAATCCCACATTCCAATTAAAGAAGCATGGTTGCCCTCCCCTGAAAAATTTGTATTTCATAAAGATACAATCTTTATGAAATACTCACATTGACGGTGTTGGATTTTTCACTGAGAATCCAACACAGTCAAGAGATATACTGAGACAAAGTAGGGACTGCTTTGCCTCAGTAGATTTCCTATGCATGGCAATTCTAGATGGCAGTAGCTCCGTCCAGTGTCAATCCCAGACGTCACCAGTGGTGGCTGCAGGAAATTGGCCCTGTCTATGGAGGATCCTGCGGTCTCGTGGTAACCTCCATAGACCTGAACTTTCTCACATGCATGAGTACAGCAATGAAGTTGGCTCATGGCACTGAAGTTCCAGGAGCAGAAGAGGACCGGCCGGAAGAAGATGGTGCCCGTGAGGGGCAGCTTCAGGTAAGTTAAACTCACGTTTGCCTGCGACCCCAGCAGCTGTCATTGTTGGGTGTCTTTGCAAATAATACAAAGTCCCCAGACTGTGACTTTGTCAGGTCCACTATTGGCCACTGCAATAGTCTATGCAAAATTATAAATGTATTGCTTTCACATTCATAAATATAACACATTTTAACAATACAATTTCCTTAATTACTTGCAGCATATGAAAAAGAAATCATTTATGGGCTGTGTAGCTTTACCTGCCATTTGAATTGTGACAAATGTAATGGAATTTGCTGCTGTAGAACATGTACAGGATTGTGTTTTTATGTTTAATAATAAATTATTTAACCAGGAAAGGTACATTCTGCTGTATTGATGGTATGGTTGTGAAACATCAATGCACTGAAATTAGGAGAATCAAGGAGGGTGACAGTGGGTAAACAAAAACTGCTTTTCCTGCAGTGTTACAGTGTGCTTTGCTTTACATTGTTTTTTGTACACACTTATTTCAAACTGTTCTGAACAGAACCGACTTTATTCTGTGGTCAATCAATCCATGTTTAAAATAATTATGCCCTGTCCTTTAGGTTTCTGGGTACGTCTAGCCACTTTTCGTAGAACTATAATACAGAATGTAGCTTGTATAAAGTCTGCAACGTGCAAAAATTTAAAGGGAAATTTTTTTTTTTTTAATGCACTTGTTTCAGTGCATCTTCCCCAAAGATGTAATCCACAGACTCTGGCTTTGATTGTAGGAAATGTTCTGGATCACAAAATATTTTTTTTATATCCTTTAATTTTAGAGATGTTTAAAGATTTTGTGGTGTTAGAGAAAGATATTTATATAATATCAGAATGTGGCAGTTCTTAATCTCTTTAAATGTTCCTCATTCACAAACTATGCTGTGATTTTACCAATAATTACTGTGTAATTTAATTGAAATGGCATTGTTTTTATAGAGGGACTCTTATTTAATTAACTGTGGGTTAAAACTTTTTTCCTGTAAGATGGGTTGTCACAAATTCATTAACGGACCACTACAGTGCCCTGAGGGTCCCCCTCCCGCCAGGCTTTAGGGGGTGGAAGGGGTTAAACTTACCTCTTTCTCCAGCGCCAGGCGGGGAGCTCTCCTCCCTCTTCTTCCGTCACCAGCCACATGCGCGGCAAGAGCCCCGCGCGCATTCACCCAATCCATAGGAAAGCATTATCAATACTTTCCTATGGACACTGGCGTCTTCTCACTGTGAAAATCACAGTGAGAAGCGCGGAAGCCCTCTAGCGGCTGTCAATGAGACAGCCACTAGAGGCTGGATTAACCCATAGGTAAACATAGGAGTTTCTCTGAAACTATGTTTACAGAAAAAAGGGTTAATCCTAGCTGGACCTGGCACCCAGACCACTTCATTAAGTTGAAGTGGTCTGGGTGCCTATCGTGGTGCTTTAAAACACCTGTAACACATGTGGTGGGTCAACTTTGGTAGTTCTTCTGAAGCATTGCAGCAGGGCATTGTGGGAAATATCCACAATAGCTTGCAGTATCAAAAGTCATCCATCACTTTTAATAATAATTTTGCTTTGGATTGAAATATACAATTACCAGAATCATGTAGAGGCAACATGTGGTCTTAAAGTGTAGTGTGAACTTAAATTTACTGTCACAATTAGGGGCAATGCATTGCTATGCAATGATTTACTGCCATATGTTTGCACTGCCCAGTACTTCAAATTTAAGTTTTTGCTTATAGCAAAACGTAATGTGTAAGTTTAAGATCTTTATTTTCTTTAACCTTTCCTTTTAGCTATGTGCAAGCACCAACAGCTTCACAATACCTCATCTGCATGTTCACAACAATTTAGCAGCCAATTCTCTGCAAAGCTGCAGGAGTGTTTACATTATGCAACAGCACATTTTTTCTAGTGTTGATGCTTAAATTGCTCTGCCAGACTTAAGTGTGTTTAATATGTATTTGGCTGCACTGGATGTGTTTAACTGGAATTACAATATTGCAACTTTATTATGTGACCTCAAGGCAGATGCTTTCTACTCAGTGCTTAAGCTACATTGAGGTTACATGCGATAAATATACTTTGTTTTGGAAAATAAGTTGTAACTAGCTTTCAATGTATGCATTCCATGGAGAATTTATCGTGGACAGCATTCAACTTTCTAATATTTACCAGTAAAATTATATTCGAGCAAAGGAGAGAGCCTGCTTTTTTTATGCTCCGTTCATCTTTTAGAAATGCATACAAAGTGTAAGACTTATTTGCCACCTACTTTGCAACTAAACTGCTGAAAAGAAATGAGGATATATTTACCCTCGCTAGTTGCTTTTCAAACACACCCCAGGAAAATGACAAGCAATGCATTGTGCATATGCATCTATGTGAACTAAGAACATTCTGTAAATCATGTTGAAGGGATAGTCAAGTCTTCAAAAGAACACTGCAAGCAGTGCACTGCTATAGTGCCAGGAATGCCATCCCATAATGAGACAAACTGGTGGTAGTATGGTTTGGGCACAGCTTATGGTGCTTGCAGTGTTCCTTCATTTCTTTGTGGTGTACTGTAGTTGAAACACACATGTATTTGTCCACACTGTTCTGTATTGCAAAGGAAGTTAATTGCAAATGTTTGTGTAAATGCATCCCTTTCAACACATTTTAGGAGTTGCTTTTCCTTCCCTCCTACTTTTTTTTTTACTAATAAATTCTTATATAACCAAAGATTGCCTTCATATTGGTTTCTAATGAATGTGTTCATGGAGTGTTCTTTAATGTGACCTAAATTAAACCACTTGTTTTATTAAAAGGAAAGGTGCAAACTATACATGAGACCTATTCTCAGTACCTAAAAAGTTACCGGTGCGGTTGTAAGCGTAAAAAAATAAAAATAAAAAAATCCCTACACCTCAGTTTTGTGAAAAAACACAAGATTCAGGTTTATTAGCATTAAAACATTTGGTTTACATTCATTTACAAGACATTAAGTGGCTTTACGTTCCAACTAGTTGACATTCTGTTCCATTTTCAGTAAAGGCTTCAGTGGTAGGTTTGTCTAGAGAATAGAATTATTAAATAATAATTATTATTAAATATTAATGAATAATATTAGCTTTTATATATAGGGAAATTTGAAATGTAAGGATCAATTAAAGGGACACTATAGTCACCAAAACTTTAGCTTAATAAAGCTGCATTTGTGCATAGATTATGAATCTGAAGCAGTGGTGGAACTACCGCGGACGCTAGGGCCGCTGCGCTGACCGGGCCCCCTGGAAATTCATTGCCATCTGGTGGCCCCAACAGCATGGGCCACCCAATGGGCTCCTTCAATGCGGCCGCAACACGTGGCAGCGGACACCCAGTCGCAGGGGTCCACAGGGTGGCCGGGCCTCCTTGAGTGACGGGCCCTGTCGCAGCTGCGACCCCTGTGGTTACATCAGACGCTGGGAGGAAGTGACTGCCCTGGTCACTCCTCCCAACAACCACTGGGAGCAAGGAGAGGAGGGAGTCAGAGTGGCAACTCTAACTCCCATCAGCCTGAGCCACCATTGAACCACAGGGAAGTCCTGCATCTAAAAGGTAGGAAATAGTAGGGTGACTAATTTTGTATATGTGTGGGTTTGTATGTATGTCTGTCTAGGTGGTGGTGGAGGGGGGAAGGTGGTACGTATGGGAGGGAGTAGCGGGGGGTTGGGGAGAGAGCTTTTTTTTTTTTTTAACCAGGGTCCTGTGGTTTCTAGTTACGCCTCTGATCTGAAGTATCGCTGCTTAATTCAGTGCTATTTATTATTCACTTAAATCACTTTAATTTCTGTTTGTGTAGCCCCAGCCACACCTCCCCTGAGTGTGACAGCCTGCATGAAAATGAAAATGTTTACATTTTCAATCTGATGTAATTTACTTTAAAAGTTTTCATCTCCTGCTCTGTAAATTGAGCTTTAATTATACACAGGAGGCTCATGTAGGGTCTAGCAAGTTATTAACAGAGCAGGAGATAAAAATTTTTAAATTAAAACAAATTTGCAATAAGTGTAAGCATTAGATGACTCTTACTATGAAGTGTTTAGGAAGGCTGTGTAAGTCACAGGGATGCATGCAGGAATGTGTGACTAAAGCTGTATAAACAAAATGATTTAACACCTAAATGGCAGAGACCTGAGCAGTTAGACTGTAACCACATGATTGATCTGCCAAAACTGCTTCATTAAGCATTGTTTTGAAAACTATAGTGTCCCCTTTAAGCATCTTTGTGATTTTTTTAAAGGCCATTGATTTTCTAACATGTGCTTGATGGTGTCCTTTCCCCTGAGACAAACTTTAGCCTTCTCAAAACAATATTGTATACAATTTTAGCTTGTATGGGTGTGTAAAACAAGAGAGTTGTAGGGGAAAAAGTGTAGGGGAAAGATCAAATGTGTGTGGATTCAGAAAACTTTTGTATTGCAGAGGAAATTATAAAAATATATATTTGCATAAATTCAATGAAATAAGCTGTAAACGTTTTGAGGACAGCTCTATTTTAAACCACAGATGTCTGAGAATATTGGGGAGGAGAAACATACCTGTCAAATCCACCACTGCCTCTTCTGTCCTCAGCAAAATGTCAGAAATACCCATAGCTTTCCGGATACCTGCAATACTGACAATATCTCCAGGTTGCACTTGCCGTGCTAGTTGTCTCAAATTCTCATTTACACTCTCAGCTTTAAAAGAAAGAAAAAGGTAAGTAAGAGTCTTAAAGCTGCTCTATTTATTTTTTAAAATTCACTTTACTTTTTAACAATACATAAGAAAATGCAGGGTTTATGTTTTGTTATGGACAGCATGATTTTTGGCACTGGGCACAGATTAAGCAAAGATCCACTTTAGTTCCTAAGTGAATTTACCCACAATCCATCAGTCAAAAGAATACAGCAGAAAGACAAACTGCACATTTCACAGGCAAAGGAGAAGAAAATGGAGACGTCAATGTAATGAGATCCGGCACAAGCAAGAAAAAGATTGTAAACAAAGGCAAGTGGCAAAATGTAATCATTAAGAAACAAAGGGGAAATACTGTGACAGAGCCGCTTTGATTTTACCCTATATTATATCTATATGTAATAAACACAGGATACATGTTTACATCATGCCATGAAATTTCAAATCCTTCGTTACTAGCCAGGTCTTATTAGTTACTTGCCAGTGCAAGCCTGCAGAGTCCATAGCATACTCTCCCAGTGATGAATTTCTAGTGACCAAAGGAGAGTGTAAATTCTGACACCTGGTCTACGTTATATTTCAGATATTTGTAGATTTTACAGCAGTGGTACTAAATTCAAGACACATTTTTATTTGCTTGCTCAGAGGTAAATAAACCACTGACACATTCGTGTAAAAGACACCTTGAGGAGGAACATTGCTGCTCCAGGGGCAATTAATTTTTTTTTTTTACCCTGGGCAATGGATTATATGGAAGAGCGGCAGTATCCTCTCCTTTTGCTCAGCTTAATATTGTGATACACAAACACTTAGACATCAGTATAGATTATGAATTGACAGGCTTGAGGCATTAAATTGTTTGGTCTGGAGTATACTTGTGAAATCTTAAGACTCCACAGGTAAATCCCAGATGGACTGAATATGACAGCTTAAAAAAACCCAACACATTTGTACACAAGCCTTGTTAAAACACTGGGCAACATACCTAGCTGTGTTTCCTTGGAAGATGGGGCAAGAAGACAGATCATGTTCTGGGGAGGTTTACTGCTCAATCGTTCATTCTGAACTTCCTGCAGCTCCCAAATGAGCTTAGTGGTTTCATCAAGCTTCTTCTGGAAAGATTTTGCTTCTACAAAGGAATATGTAAAGTCAATCATGAAAAAACGGGACAGTACAATTACAGACTGACATATTGACACAGAAATTAAGTTACAAAAAAAACAACTAAAATTATAGAATTAGCTTTAAGAATAAAAATATAAAACTGAATACTACATTGAAAATAAATCCAAGTGTACAAAATAAAATTGTAATGCAATGATTGTTAGAATAATCACTGTGATATCTGGTAAGATCTATGACCTACATTAATTGGTTAAAAGTATAATATAAGGTGGTTGGACTAGCATCTACTAAATACTTCACCATGATCTGTAATGCACCAAACCTTTCTAGAAAGCAAATCAGTAAGAAAGAAAAAAAGAAAAGCACAATGTAGTTCTGGATTGTTTAAACTCCAGATCCCCCACACCTTGTGGTTAAACTGCATTCTGTAATTTGACAACCCTACTGAGACCACATTGGGTGAATTTTCATTTTTTTTAGTAAATATTTCTAAATTGGTAGTCAATGTAAACTTTACATTCAAGGTCAAAATAGCCAAAATGGAAAAATTCTCCAAGTCAGCTATGCTTTTGTATCAGTTACTATGACCTTCAACTTGAAATTCACTCTGAATTTTAACTTTGGAAAATAACTGATTATAATATAGTGATTTGTTCTGAATTGGACTAAAGTTCAGTTCAGCGATCTTTGTTTGAAAATTGAAACTGGGTTTTCAGTTGACTTTTTAGTGAATAGACCCTAAAAAGAGTGAGCAAGAAAAGGCAAGAACACACATTTAATATTGTATATCCCAATAATCAATATCTGTGGAACAAAGATACCCTTACACTTACAATCCTTAATACAGTGCCAACATATTCCGCACCCTTCGCAAAAAAATCAGCTTCCTTACCCACTGAATCAAAGTGGTCCTCAAAAAAACCTGGTCCAAATACAGATTTTAAATAGGCAAACTGGTCAGAGGCACTGCTACAATCCGTCACAGCTGGACAATCCCTGGTGGCTGCTGTTACCTAGAATGAATGATAAATAGTTAATTATTCAGTAACCTATTTTAACCTGAAATTTGCAAATCCTAAAGTTGGATACAATTTCAATTGGTATATTTTGTCCCATAATTTGCAATTTCATTCTCAGTGTATCACCGATTCCCAGTTCAGTAAATAACACATCGGGTACAATGTTACACAAACCCTCCCATTCTTATAAGTAAATCAATTCCAACCTGCATTTAGAGGCGATTAAGCAGTGAGCTTTACTTACCATGTCCTGATCTCTCTGCACTCTTGAATATTCTCCATTTGTAAAGGCGTCAAGGATAGACTCAGCCATCCCATATGGTCGATCCAGTGTATTCTCCAAGAACGTCTGGATGCTATAAGCATTAAAAAAAAAAAGATTATACATCATATATGATAATGAAAAATCAAATACTGTAAGAATATGGAGATTACAGATCAAAATTACATTTTGACCTGCATTGATTTGAGCAAAGTAGAACTCCCACTTTCCCTTGTTGCCCTTTGTAAGCCACAAAACTGTTAGAGCTGTATAAAAATATCACTGTTGCCTAGAAATATGAACATTGGAGAATTAATTTAAAGATAACCCCTCAATCTAAGAACTAGGTGAAAAGGACATGCAAGAGTTTACGAGCAGGGATGTGCAAATAGCAGCTGCAATGCCTTGTGGACTAGCAAAGTTACAGCCAAATTAACAGAAAAGCAAAAAAGTTAAAGCAGAACTTTCACTTCTCTGGAAGGGTCATTTCCTTGTTCCCCCACAACAGTTGTTTACTGAGATGCACAGGAGAGCAGATGTAAGTGTTTATATAAAGAATATAAAAAAAAAAAAAAAAAAAAATTATTACCTAGCTTCAAGCTATCACAATGTCACAGGATCTGGCCTCATTGAGAACCAATCCACTCCCCACTGCAATTCACATAAATATGCTCCATTCTGCCTTAAACTAGATGAACTTTTTTCCCATGGCAATCCAAACTCAACTAAGAGGTTTTGCCTTAACGTGGCAGACAAGCTTATACTTTAACCCCTTAAGGACACATGACGGAAATATTCCGTCATGATTCCCTTTTATTCCAGAAGTTGTGTCCTTAAGGGGTTAATGGCCATTGGAGTGATACTAAAAATCTCCAGTTATGAGCAGATGGAGCCTGACAGCGACACGGTCTTGACGCCATTTCTGGTTGCTCCAAAACTCAGTGAAATCGGTTGTAATCCTGCAACTCACCTGCACCATTCAGACCCCAAAACACTGGGCACAGTCTAGTGAACCCCCACTGCATCACTAGAGGACATCTTTATACACCCAGAAGCTGAAACGAAGAACTGGGGCCTACTACCTACCGGCACCCCGTAACCTTGATGAACTTCTTGGCAGGACAGGCCTGAACGGATCCCCCGATGCTCCAAATAGCCACACTGCAGTCCTCCCAAACCAAAAAACAATGGGGTGCCGTTCTCAGAGACCACAGCCCATTACAACAGATAACCAATGGGACATTGGAACTTTGCTTCAGAGGAAAGTGCCGGCCACCCAAAGCTTACCAAGCCAGGCCCTTATTCACAATCAAGCAACACAGGGAAGCACGCAGACCCAGAGACACCTCTGAGGGTACAGCCACTGCTACAAAACAGAACTTACAAAATATGCAGAACACTTTATTGGAAATCCACAGGCTCCTAACTGCAGATGTGGCTTCCCTAAAAACAAACTTGCAGCAAATCACAGAGGGCGAAGGCCACACAGGCGGATATAGGGAAAATACGTGATGAAATGGCCAATATGAAAGAAACAATGCTCTCACAGCAGGCTACCCAGCAGACTATATCATTGCAAATGGCCGCACAGGAAGACCGGTACCGCCGCAACCATCTTAAAATCTGCAGGGTACCACCCGCAATCACTATGGAGGAATTACAACACTACATAAGTTGACTACCCTTTTACTATTGGCTTTGGGCAAAAAGTTCACTATTGCTGAACTATTTCGCCTCCCAACAATAACCCGCCCCAATTACTGAAGATATCATCCTCTGATGCTTCGCATATTAAGACAAAGGCCACATCATGGCAGCGGTGAGGAGTAAGACCCCACTGTCATTTGAAAACATGCAACTGTCCTTCTACCAATATTTGACCAAGGCCACACTTCAGTGGCGAAAAATCACAAAATCCACTTACTAATCGACTATGTTTTGCAGAGGTGGCCTATAGATTGGCAACACCGAGATCCCTCCTCATCACGCACAATGGAATTGTCTACAAACTCACTTTTGGAACCAAGGCACCTACACTACTCTCCACTCTTGGCCTTGTGACCCAACACCTGCCACCTCCACATAACCTACATGTATGGGATCCAGGACCTGCTCTCACCACAGACTCCACTGGTCACCTGACTGACCCTGGAGAGGACGAAGCTGTCACACAGAATTCCCTATCTTGTGTTTTTGTTCTGTTACTGAATTATACATCCAATATTATTTGTTGTTTTTACCACCAATTTTAAGGTCTTGGCTTTGGGTGCAGTCTAGGTCTAGTCTCACATACACACTAGGTAAGCCACCATGTGGTGTGCAACCTCCCCCCCACCCCAGAAACCCCCTTGGTCAAAGGTGCTTACTCCCTCGGGGAGCCAAAGACACCCACACATTCACAATCCTTGCTACATACAATTTTGTAGATTTATGGTGTTGGCTACTCAAGTATTACTCGTAGGTTTTACGCTCATGAATCACAGAACAACTCGCTCATACGCTGCTACCTCCTACATAGCTGGTTCAATAATAGACACCCAGTATATAATACTCTGCCTATATACACTCTCTACTGACCTCACATATAGTGTCAATACTAGACCTAGAAGATGTTAGTTGTACTCTGTTAGAAAAGCTGATTTGTACAGTCTCCCCTCTTCCTCTGGTGCTGCACCCTTGATATTCATAAATGCGTAATATGCGTAATGCTAGTTAAGATATCTTGTTTATGGATATATTCACTTAATCGTACTGCTTTCCAAATACAATGCTCTTGTTCTATTTTGTTGATATGATTGCTCTTCCCTTTGCGGTCAAGGCAAGGCATGTACTTGTGTATTTACCTGTGCACCAAAAATAAAGAATTTAAAAAAATAAAATAAAACCTCCAGTTATTTAAATGTAAATAAGGGATTTAGCATAGTGTGCAGTTAAATCTTTTCTTTGTTTTTTTTTGTATGTATTGGGACTGATGTGTATCATGGTCATTGCTACTGCCCAAGCGTAGTACGAGAAATCAGAAACATGTTTATTTTCTTCTTACGAAGAGCACCTACTGGGCTTTTTGTTCTTTTTACATTTCTAAGTGGCACCTTTAGTAGATATGAGAATTGACATTCCAGTCCGAATACTCTAAATTCATTGGATTCTGTCCTTCTGGACAAGTGAATAACCCTGTAATTATACACTTACTGTGTTAAAAAGGATTAACTTGAAAATAGAATATTTAAAATGAATATATAAATGACACGCCACCAGCTCAATCAAAATACAATAACTTTTAAAACTTAACAGATCAGACAGCTTTTTTGATAAGTAAATAATACAAAGTAAACTCTCTGTACTACATAATTCTTCGGGCAACGCCATGCGGTTTCCTTTCACTGGGTCAAGATGACCTTTTAACAATAGCACAAATACAAAGGTGGAACGGCACACCTTTCCCAATGGCAGACTCAGACTATATTTGTTAGTCTGTATCATACGCCATAAAAAGATTGCTACTCTTCTGTTATTTGTGAAAGAATTAGTTGACACTTTTTATTTTTTTTTTTTTTTTTATTTCTTACATTACTAGAATACTAGGATAATTCAGAACAATGCCACCCATAAGCAGTTTACTTGATATGATCGATGCTTCAGTTAAAATGCTTATTGAATTGTTGAGTCACAGTCCTTCTGTAATCTCAGTAATACCAGCTTTGGCCCAACAATAATTAGCAACAACATTTATATTCACATAGGAAGTCTAAATAAATTGATAGCAATTTCATACACTGCCCTTTACTCTGGATAGTAAATATTATATCAAAAGGTTTAGAAGGGTTATTTTATTTAAAGGGACACTATAGTCACCTGAACAACTTTAGCTTAATTAAGCAGTTTTGGTGTATAGAACATGCCCCTGCAGCCTCACTGCTCAATCCTCTGCCATTTAGGAGTTAAATCCCTTTGTTTATGAACCCTAGTCACACCTCCCTGCATGTGACTTGCACAGCCTTCCATAAACACTTCCTGTAAAGAGAGCCCTATTTAGGCTTTCTTTATTGCAAGTTCTGTTTAATTAATAATTTCTTATCCCCTGCTATGTTAATAGCTTGCTAGACCCTGCAAGAGCCTCCTGTATGTGATTAAAGTTCAATTTAGAGATTGAGATACAATTATTTAAGATGAATTACATCTCTTTGAAAGTGAAACCAGTTTTTTTTCATGCAGGCTCTGTCAATCATAGCCAGGGGAGGTGTGGCTAGGGCTGCATAAACAGAAACAAAGTGATTTAACTCCTAAATGACAGTGAATTGAGCAGTGAAGTGGCAGGGGAATGATCTATACACTAAAACTGCTTTATTTAGCTAAAGTAATTTAGGTGACTATAGTGTTCCTTTAATCATCCAAAATAAGGTGTTATCACTCTACCTGCAAGAACCTTGAAGACTGGACTCTTCTCCGTATGTAGAGTAGATTAAATCCGAATCGTCCTTGCTTATGTTTGCAAACGTTGAATCATAACATGGTGCATAGGAGGAAAATGGTCCATAATTCAAGTATAAAACTAAGGAAGAAAAAACATCCTTCTCAGTAAAATCATAACTGTGACAAAAAAAAAAATGAAGCAGTCTACAAAAGTCTGTACATATTTACTTAAATATAGTATATAAATGCATTGGTCTTTAGAGATACCTTGAGGTGGGTTACTTATGCTACCAGACTGACTTTCTGGACACTAATTTTGTCAATTCTACTGAGTTAGCTAGTTTAGAAGATGCAGGATTTAGTATCAACCCCAAGGTTACAGAGTACTTGCAGCTGAAGCATATTCAAACAGGAAATATAGAATGGAAAACCCTCCTGTATTGTTACACTAAATGCAATACATTGTTTAGGCCTACATATAAGAGACTTGTGAACTGACAGCGAGTATAACTTTCACATGGATGACTAATTAAATAGGCATCAGTGGCAACATGTTTTTGTTCTCCCTCTAAATCCTATCTCAAGCTGCAGTTAAGTAGGTTCCATGAAATGTATAGGTATTTAAAGATCTACGCCAGACTCCGGTGGCTTATGATGGGCTGCCGAGAGCCAGCACCATAATTACAGAACATATAGGCCTGTGGATCACAATGTCCTTCTATAATACAATGCACTAACTGCAGTAAAAACTACCTCGCACACACCTTCCATTTCTGCTGAAATGAGTTGTTCACATAATGTTACAAACAGGCTAATCACTTATGTGGCAACTAGTAAAAATGATTATTTCCAACCTGATGATGCCAGATGACCAAGCCTGCTATTGCATTAAGAACTAGCCAAAGAAACCATTGTTTAATCCTGGGGATTTTTTTGGGACAGTGGACTAAACAATGGTCAAACGAACGTTTTAGTAGATAACTAAACCTGCCCAGACTTTCTGTGGCTGTCCAATCAAAGACTTCCCAATGCAGCTTAATAAGAAGTCTTTGCAAGCCAGGTGCTCTGAGTAATTGCTTGTCTCTTGATTTTAGCTCTAATGAGCTAAACAACTAAGAAGTATCAGGACTGATTGTCTGATTTACACTCAGTGGGTGTAACAATGTTATGTGATAAATGCAAATGTTTACTAAAATCTGCACTTTTTTTTAACAAAAAGACTCTTCACACAACGCACATCTGTAAGCTGAAGTGCTCTATGGGTCTGGAGTGTGCCTTTAATAGCTTTTAACTTGGAGTATAGTATGATTACTAATTTATATATTACAACATATACATTTGATTCATAACAGTCATTTGTAAAAAAAAAAAAAAAAAAAAAATTCCAAACAATCATTACACCATTTTACCTGAAATAGAGAAGACATTCCTAAATGGTGCAAAAAAATGAATCTCTCATTTACCTGGAGTTACCTTGTTACGCTTATCTTCTTTGAATCCTTGCAGTGAATTAACTCCTGATTGCAGACGGCCTGCTGTGGATGCAAGAGAGCCTTGTCCAGAATCTAATGAAAAAAAGTGAATTTTAGATATTAAACATACTGTGCGGTACACCACACTTTGAAAGGTAACTTCTTTAACTTTGTTTTTTACAATAGATTTTCAATGCATTAAAAATATATTACTGGCTAAACCATGGCATCACTACAGGGTTAGCTCTGCCCACTTAGGACAGGAAATTAATTATAAATAGGTCATAATCTTTCCTATAGCTCCAGTCTTTTTTGTCCTCTTGGCTACGGACATGTTTTTGAGGTAATTACTATTTATTTTATATTGCCTTGGCTAAATTTTTATATAGCACTTCCCTAGAGCTCCCTGTATGTATCCCCATTTAGGAAACGACCCTGGGAGATAGGTTTATCCTTAGTTACAGGATACCTACAAAAATCAACGTTTATCCTATGGGTAGAGGTATTATTGTAAGCACAGAAAATTGCCTGATATCAAGTTTACAGTTGTGAACACTTATTTTAAAATATTGAGAGTTTACACTCACATTTCACAGAGCCTAATCAAACCTGGCTCTGGGTGGGAAAGGCTCCATAGGATTCAACTAGTGCTCATTGTTTAGGCCTACATATGAGACTTGTGACAGCGAGTATAACTTTCACATGGATGACTAATTAAATAGGCATCAGTGGCAACATATTTTTGGTCTCCCTCTAAATCCTATCCCAAGCTACAGTTAAGTAGGTTCCATGAAATGTATAGGTATTTAAAGATCTACGCCAGGCTCCAGTGGAGCCATAGGAGCCTTTCACACACAGAGCCAGGGTTGGTTGGTTGCTGCTGGTTTGTACAGTTTCTATTTGATTGCTGCTGGTTTTATCACTTTTATAATTATTTGCTGCACATTGTAAATAATGGTTTAGTGCTGTTCACTTTTTTGAGTGCTGTTTTTCATCGCTTAGGCCATTTATGTACAACCCTTGGTCCTCCAACCTGGCCTATTTATTTCCTCCATTCCAGCTAATCTGGAATACACTGAAACTGCTTCAGGTGATAGTAGTCATCCTGTATTGGACTCGCAAACCCTGTTTCCCCTTCCTCAGGTCTCTAGTAACGGAAACTCCACGGAAGATTCCCTGGATGCTGAAATTGCCAACACAAGGACCACAATCTCATCCGTCATCTTCCAAACTACATATGATGGCATGGAGACTGAGCGGAGGACCCCGATTTTCAGAATCAGTAATAGACATACACTGATGCAATCAAGAGGGATATCTATGTCTTTTGTAGACTGGACTACCAATAAAGAAGTCTCTATTACATTTCAGTCGGAGTTCCAGTTGGAATTTCTTCAAGGAGGTGTGGACAGATGACTCAGTTTAAGATCCCTTCATGTTCAGGTCTCTGCTTTATTAACCCAAGTGGATTTAGGTAGGCTGTGGATACCATGGTTTATAAACACCTTTGAACCCTTGCAGGATGACCTTCTTCTTACCCTCAAGTGTCTTTTTTTGGTGGCCATTACCTGGTGAATTTTAGAGATTTACGCCTTATCCGCAGAAGAATGTTTTACTGTTTTATATCCTGATAAAACTGTTCTTCCCACAGTTCCAGAGGTTAGGCCTAAGGTCATCTTTAACTTTCATCTAAATTAAGAGATTGTCTTACCAGCCTTTTATCAGTCATGATCTACTCCTGTGAAAATCAGTCGCCACATGCCTTGCTATTTATCTAAGACAGGTGATTGGAGGCAGTCATTAAGGCTTTTCTTTAATTTTTCAGGACAAAACAAGGGCCATGCTGCATCTAAACCTACTTTGAGTCAGTGAATTATCTTAGAAACATAGAAACATAGAATGTGACGGCAGATAAGAACCATTCGGCCCATCTAGTCTGCCCAATTTTCTAAAAACTTTCATTAGTCCCTAGCCTTATCTTATAGTTAGGATAGCCTTATGCCTATCCCATGCATGCTTAAACTCCTTTACTGTGTTAACCTCTACCACTTCAGCTGGAAGGCTATTCCATGCATCCACTACCCTCTCAGTAAAGTAATATTTCCTGATATTATTTTTAAACCTTTGTCCCTCTAATTTAAGACTATGTCCTCTTGTTGTGGTAGTTTTTCTTCTTTTAAATATAGTCTCCTCCTTTACTGTGTTGATTCCCTTTATATATTTAAATGTTTCTATCATATCCCCCCTGTCTCGTCTTTCCTCCAAGCTATACATGTTAAGATCCTTTAACCTTTCCTGGTAAGTTTTATCCCGCAATCCATGAACCAGTTTAGTAGCCCTTCTCTGAACCCTCTCTAAGGTATCAATATCCTTCTGAAGATACGGTCTCCAGTACTGTGTACAATACTCCAAGTGAGGTCTCACCAGTGTTCTGTATAATGGTATGAGCACTTCCCTCTTTCTACTGCTAATACCTCTCCCTATACAACCAAGCATTCTGCTAGCATTTCCTGCTGCTCTATTACATTGTCTGCCTACCTTTAAGTCATCAGAAATAATCACCCCTAAATCCCTTTCCTCATATGTTGAGGTTAGGACTCTATCTTGGCTATATCCAAAGCTTATCCTCAAGACATTCAAGTTCCTTCTGATCTAAGAGCCCATTCCATGAGATCCTTGTCTTTATCCTTGTAGCTGCAACTAACCCTCCTATAGAAAGCACCTCAGAGACGCTACATGGTCATCAGCAAATGTTCATTAGGCATTGTGCCTTGGATGTCTGTGCCCAAAAATCTTAATTTGGGAGAAATATTTTGTCATGAGCCTCTTAATTCTATAATAAATTATTATAATGGCATTTTCATTTCAGAGTCTCTTTGGATTTATTTTGTGCTTAATTCCCTCTCTTACTCTTTTGTGGGTATTACCAGGATTTTCTTTTCCTGGATATATCCATAGCAGCATCAATACAAGGTAAGTATGATGAAATTATTTATATTGTCAAACTTTAAATGGCACATTCTTTTAATATGATTTTCTTTTTTTAGAATGGTTGTTAGCACTTGGTTATAATAGCGTGCTTTCATTTTCACTTGTGAGAACGGAAAATCCTGACAACCGAGACATACACCCAAAGTTTTAGACTTATATCTACATTTAAAAACATTGCACAAGAAGATATAATCTATGCATTTCTAAAGATGTTTATATTACACGTTTCTTATCATTCACATATTTAAACCCATTAACATAAGAAAAGCTTTATATCCAGTACAGATATTGCATACCTCCAATAAATGCATCCACAGGATTAAGCAAAGCAAGTGTTGTAGTCCCATCTGTCTTCCTTCTATCAAACTCTACCTGCAAGGAATAAAATGTTTTTAAAGGCACATCTTACACACGAGAATCTATTCACTGTGGTTGTCTATCATTCGATATTTCATTATATTATTAAAGTCAGTGGGGACTTAGCTTTGGCAAACTAACCAAGCAAATGTCAGATATAATTTCCACTGAATTCATCATGGCCGGACATCTGCACAGGAAAGAATAACGCAATAGGCATAGGGTAGAAGTAAGATTAAGGAAATGTTAATGTTAAGCAATTAAAACAAAAAGCATCTATTAACAGATGTGGAAGGCAGATATATTGTGATCAATTTCAAAATGTCTGTTTCCTATTTGAGATGAAAAAAACCAAACAACATTAGTGTATATATTGGGTATCAGGAAGAAAGCTGCGAGATTCTTATTTTATTGTGAATCAATGTAAGATTATTTTCATAATTTTGTAATAGTAATACCAATTCCAACCTTTAATTGGATTTGTCACTTTTCACTTTTTTATAAAAATATATGCTTTATATGAAATATTTTAATGAAGACTGCATTGGAAGTTCAAGCAGTGAGTCGATATGCTTACACTTGCGCCATGACGAGTAGGGCATGGGGATACTAATAAATCCCATGAGGGTCAAAATTTGCCCCATATTTGTACAAACATAGTGGAGCGATAAATTTAAATGACTTAACCTTAAACAATAAGTGAGCAATACAGATCTTAACAGGGTATACTAGATAAGATAAAGATATGTACAATAGTGTACATAGTCCAAAATAAAAGGATATAGTGTGATGTGTAATGAATGCACTGACATGGAGCAGAGCCCAACAGGGATAGACTTAAATCACACCAGCATTGGTCAATTATGGCAATACCAGGGCCTCTACTATATTCAGTGCAAGGTCTGCTTACTGTTCAGCCTCCATATGCCAAGCTGGGGTTTTGCCACATATACTTTGCTAACACAATACAGAACATGCTGGTATACAGTTCTGCTCCATGTCATTGCATACATTACACACCATGCCTTATCCTTTATTTTAGACTTATTATCCTATTGTACAGATCTTTATCTTCTCTAGTATACCCTGTTAAGAGCTAGTTGCTCCATTATTGTTTAAGTGTAATATAAATTCAGCACTCCACTGTTTATATCACGGTTTACCTCTTGTTTTTTGCATGTAAGTGTGCTAAGTCTTAGGGTACTAGCATGTAACTGCTCCATAATAGATTGTTCCATTGATTATATTATAAACGCTTTTAATTGCACAGAGCACTTTGAGGTTTAACTATATGCCCGCAGGCTAATGCCGCCAGCGGTTAGACAGTTGAACAAACAAACAAACATTTATTGACAGCCTTTAGCATTCAAAATTTTCAAGCCCAAATATTAAGGAATAGGTCCTCAATCAATGGAATGGAGTTCCCAAATCTAATTTTTAATGTCTAGCACATGTTTCGATTTTCAATATCTTTGTGTAGTTGCTGTACTAATGTATTTGTGAGTGTCTAATTTAAAATGATTTTATGCTGTCACCATAAATATCATATATAACTCTAGATCCCTTAAACACTTTAGATTGCTGAAAAGTTTTGAGTGAAGAGTGTGTCATCTATTTTTTCATTCTGCAAAAAGTACAGAGAAATAGACATTTATAAATTTACCTGGTTGCATCCCACCTGGCCTTGAAGCAGATGACAGGTCCTGTTACTTCCGGGTTTGGTTAGCTTATTTGCACTGAACTCAAAAGGCAGCAATTGCTAAGAGCACCTGCCTTGCAAGACTTCTCATTGAGCTGCATTGGGATGTCTGTGATTGGACAGCCACAGAAAGTCTGGGCGGGGTTAGAAGGGGAGAGCTTGCAAATGCAGCAGACAAGAGAACTGCAGCGTTTGCAAACTGTTTTTAGATATACCTCCAGTAAAAAAAAAAAAAATTGCATAATTAAATGCATGCAAGTTTCCATTTGGGGTATATCTACTAAACTGATTTTTTTAATTTGCATTTGGGCAGTGGAGTGTCCCTTTAAATCTACAACTTTTTCTTTCTGAAATTAAAATAGATATTTGCATACAAGTGTCTGGGTATTACCTGGCTGTTTATGACTCTCTTTGTTAACTTGCCCAGTGATTCTTTAATTATCTGCTCAATCAGTTCCTGTTCCTTTTCTGCTGCAGCTTCTGTAAGTTTTTGTTTATCATCCAGCTGGTCTTTATCTTTTCTGTAAATAGTAGGTACATAGTTACATAGTAATCTAGATTGGGGGACGACAACCCAAAAACACAGAAATGCCTAGATTGTTTGAGTTACTAACTCACAGAAACTCTGGATTACAAGGTTTAATAGAGGAAAATAAATTGTTATTCTGCTTTTGATGTTTAAGCATTCACATAACTTTAATTATGGACTTCTCCAAAAAATGTATTATAAATATAGATATATACTTTGCTGTAAAATATCTCCGTACTTGAAGCTTGGAATTGAAATTTTAGTGTGTAGGTACCGTTTTAAGTCCTTGATTGGGCTTTTGAAAGCTGTAACATCAGATGTATCCATCGATTCGTCCTTCATTTGATCTTCTGTCCTATCTCCATTACCTTGTGCATCACCTTTTTCTTTATCCTTGCCATCGCTGTGAAGATCAGCCATGAATTCAATGCTCTGTTTAAGACTGTGAATTCTTTCCTGAAGAGAACACAAAGTAAACACTACTGGAAAAAAAACACAATATTGGTCCAGCTGGGTGAAAAACATAGTGAAAAAATGAAGGAAGCTTTATCAAAGTGTTCTGAAAAGTGCACTTTTAGGATGTTAAACCCTATATCAAAGTGCTATAAACAGGATCTGAAAAAGTCCTTCCATTTGTCTATCCGGTCATTTTCAATTCCACAATTATGTACCACTGAGAATACTGTGCAAAAAAAGTGCACATAACCTGCCGGGCTTTCTATGCCAAAATAAAAATGGTGTAAGTACACCAGAAAAGTAAAGCTTAATACATGTGTAGTAAAAAAAAACCTGTTATATATATAAAAAAATAAAATTTAAAAAACAATGCAACATAAAAGTGAGAATTGTTGGAAATTCAAAGTGAATTTCAAAATGAAAGGCCACGCAGAAAACATTCTCAGCTATATTTCTAATTTGACCTTTTAGTTACCTTTAATTTACCTTGAGTTCATGAAATTGTCACTTTGGTGAATAGCCATGTGTATAAAAGGCACAAAGTAAAAAAAAAAAAAAAGTAGCGAAAAATATTTTCAGAACTGAAAATTCAACATGGAGTTTAAAAAAACAAACAAACAAAACAAACAGATTATTCTGCAACCTTTCGATAAATATCCCTACAAGTTATATGAGAACATTTTAGTTATTTGCTCTTATAGAATGTATCTCCTTGCTGTACATCTCCTGAGTGTAAGAGAATTAATGGAAAATATTTTATTGTGCATGGTGAAGATAAACGGAGTATCCATATCAACTTTTTTTTTTTTTCTTATTGTAAAGAGCACTTTACACAACAATCTACATAGATTTTTCATTCATACAACTCTATCCTGATTTATACTCTTGAAATAGGGCCTGCATTTGTGCTTTTACATGGCTAGCTACTGAAAACAGAAGGATTTAAGTTATTTTACCTGGCTGAGAATTTTCATGCCGGAGTTTAGAAGCTTCTTGGCAGCCTTGTGATAAATTGTACCAGGCTTGTTATAAATCATAGCATTGTGACATATTAGCTTGAAGTTCTCCTACATCAGGAAAAAAAAAAAAAAAAAAAAATCACAGTGAGTTAGAATTCTGAGCACTATAAATAAAGTTGCAATGGTTAATAATAGATTTGCACCACTAAACTCAACATAGGGCAGTTAGGTTTGTGTGCACAATGTCTTGTTTTATACTGGCTAAGTATGTTTAGTTCCGATTGTGAATCAGATAGAATTAAGGGTTGCACGGTGCAAGAGTTTCCTTTATAAACGAACAGTTCAATGTGGCAGATGGTAGCTCCTATATTTATCAGCATAACCTCCCATTAGCCCAAGTTAGCCGTTTATTTCCAAGCATTTGTTTTAAATAATCCATTTGATTAATGAAAGATTTAAAGCGTGCGAGCCTAAATGCAATGTCACCTCTAGATGTGAAGGCATCACTCTGCTTTAGTCTTCCCAACGTCATCTAGTACCATAAAGAGTGTGGGAGGTTGCTCTGATTACCTTTAGTTCTTCTATTGATTCATATTCATTATTCCTTATCTTCTCTTTCATCGTGCTGAAATCCATTGGATTTTTAATAATCATGGAATAACCAGGAGCAATAAAGTCTGTGACAGGGAAGGAAAAGAAGGCACTGGAATCCTTTCTGTAAATATAAAACCACAAACAACAAAATCACTAGTAAAATGCTGGCTTCACCTCATCTGTAGACCTACAGTGCAGCATTTACACAGAGTTCCTGCATGTGTGGTGGTTATCCAGAAAATAGATATTGGGTTTAATTTAATATGTGAGATAGTACTGAAAACTACGCAAACTGAAACAGGGCTTCACATTATTAACAGGCAATGATAGATCACTAATCTCAACTCATCCCTACAGCATTTATGAAAATTAAATCTTTAGCAAAAATTATAAAATATTTGCTCTCAAATGTCAGAGGCAAGCTGGGTAGAGTATCCTGCTATCATTACATCCCACTAAAGCAGCGTTCTCCAAACTCGTGCCCTCCAGATGTTGCTGAACTACAACGCTCACAATTCTCTGGGTATTTCATTCAAAGAATCATGGGAGTTGTAATCCAGTTGCATCTAGAGGGCCAGAGTTTGGAGAACACTGCACTAGAACAAGGAGAAGCTGGGACCATGCACTTTGAGAAAACAAACCTCTTTTATGAACGTTTCTCTGCTACAAATTGCTAATAATGGCACCATGTCTTTTGTACTTTTTTTTTTGTTAAATACATGTAATTAATTACAGGGACACACTGAGCACCAAAACAACTTTAGCTTAATGAAATGGTCTTGTGTGTAGATCATGCCCTTGCAATCTTATTGTTCAATTCTCTGCCATATAGGAGTATAATAAAAAAACCGAACAAATGAAAATTGCAGTAATAACTGTCACGAGAAAAAGTATGTCCTGACTTCTAATGGACAACAACAGCTCATGGGCATCATTATATTTACAACTTCTGTCTAATCCTTTGCTTAGCACCTCGTGAATAACAGTGATTCCTGCACACCACTGACAAGCAATGCTCTTTAATTTTGTTGCACTTACCTCTGGAGCTGCCTCACTAACTGATTCAATGCTTCTTGAAGTGGAGTCTGTTCTTCTATTAAAATATAAGAACATAAATGCCTAGTTACAAATACTATAACATCTATTTTGTAGCATTGGTTTGACAGGCTAATTAGGTCCCATCTAAACAAGATTTATTTTGTTTAAATCACAGCACCCACAAAAGAATGTCAGTTCAGTAAGGCTTCATTTTGCGAAAAATAGACTTCTGCTATATGTGAAGGCTAAATATTTGAGAAACGTATCATGATTAAATGAACATGCCAAGCACCATAACAACTTCTGCTCATTGTGTAATAAGTTATGGTGCAAGCAATTCCCTTGTCTCCTTTAGTACATACTTCCTTTAAACAGAAGGGATTTGTAAAAATCTTTGCAAGTATAAGCCTCCACCATTTTGTCTCCGATTATAAATGCTTCCTTTTCTGTCATTGTTAAATCTCCTTTACATATTAACTGATTGGGAGGTATCGCTTATCGATTTTATTATGGCTCATAAAGATACACTGGAAATTAACTGCTTAGCAACATTTCAGTAAATTGATAGACTACATAGTTACAGTGCCATGTAAGAGATCTGATTATTTTAGTTTTTATAAATACAATGTTTATAAATTTATTTGATGGACCAGTTTCACATTTTGGTGTATTGTAGCAGTTTTACAATTCAAATCATCCCATAAATTCATATCATTTGTGAAAAGGGGTATGTAATATGGTACATTTTAAGCATTGTTATACAGTCTTTTTAGCAGCAATGTTTATGGTATTATTTTATTTTTGCATGCAAGATGCAATTTAGCAGTTTATTTTGTAAACTTGATATGCAATACTTTAATAAAAAAGAAGAAATCACTAAATTGTGCTTGGTTACATCCAATGCATCTCTATGGGGAGCGTTCAGCGTCTTCATGCAAAGCGCGGAGACGTTAAACGTATATGCTGCACGCAGTGTGGCACTGAACTTGGAAGCACCTCTGGTGACTATAGTGTCCCTTTAATTGTATCCCTAAACCAAACCCTAATTCTAAACCTAATTCAAATCCCAAATGTAAGCACAATCATTAGTATTTACAAAGTGCCAACAAATTCCGCAGTTCTGTACAATGGGTGGACTAATAGACAAGTATCTGTAGCAAGACGAGTTGGATGCACAGGAACAGAGGGTGTTGAAGGCCCTGCTCAAATGAGCTTATATTTTAGAGGGAGTGGGGGAAAGTTAAACAAAGGGTAAGATATATTTCATATACGGGAAGAGTATATTGCTAGAATAGTTTAGAATGAAGGTAGTTTTTTTTGGATGACACAAATGCAGGAGAGGAAGCAAGGTGGGTTACCAAAGGGTAGGTAGGGAATGCTATTATTATTACCAGTCTAATTGATATGTTTTTCTAAAGAAGTGAATTTTCTATTATTTTTTGAAGGAACAGAGACTTGGTGAGAGTCTAACAGAGCAGGGAAGGGAGTTCCATAGGAACAGTTCAGCCCTAGAGAAGTCTTGAAAGTGGGTGTCAGAGGTGTGAGTATGAACAAAGGACTGACACAGATCTTCAGCAGAGCTTAGGGGCCGTGGGTTGGACATACATGTGTATTAGTGAGGATAGGTAGGTAGGTAGGAGCCAAGTTATGTAGAGATGTGTAAACAAGTACCAGAATTTTTAATTAAGCCCTATATCTTTTAGGAAGCCAGTGCTGGGACTGACAGAGGGGGGAAGGCATGGGTTGACAGGATAGTGAACCTCGCCACATTCAATATAGACTAACAGGGCAAGCTGGGAAAGTACAACACCACTGAGAAGCGGATTGCAGTAGTCTATGTGAGAGAGGATAATGGCATTGACCAGCACCTTAGCTGCATTTGGCATTAAATAGTGGTGCATGTAACAGAGAAACTAGCATAAAATAGGTTTAATTACTCAGATTATACAGTCCCTGGTTGTCCATGTACTAATTGGATGTTTTGTAATGGGAGTAGCAGGATTTGGAAAATGACTGGACATGAAAGGTGAAGGAGAGGTTTGCATCAAAGAACACCCTGACTCCATGGCTGAGATCATCCATCTTGATGACCTCAGCGAATACAATGCTCTCTCATAGGAAAGCATTGGGAGGGTATTGCGCATACAATCAGCATGTCCTTATCAAATATAATCCTCACGATCCTTATCCAGTGCATCACTATGGAGAGTGTTCAGCATCCCCATGCAAAGAATGGGGAGGTTGAAAATAGGTGGTGCACACAGTGCAGCACTGAATTTGGAAGCACCTCTGGTGGCAGTCAGAGTGACTGCCACTAGAGTTGTTACTAGGCAGAAATGGAAACAGACTTTTCTCTGAAAAGTCAGTTTTTACAGGGTTAAGGCGTGCTATAGATAGCAGAACCACTACATTAAGGAAGTTAGCAGCCATCCAGTTAGAAATAGCAGAAAGGTTGTCAGAGACACAAATCAAGAGAAACGGTGAGATAAAGACAGGAAAGATTTGTGTGTTGCCTGCATAGATAGAAGTGATATTAGAAGCCAAAGAAGCGGATGAGTTTACTAAGGGAGGCAGTAAAGATTTAAAACAGTAAGGGACCTAGGACAGCACAATGGGTAACACTGACAAAGAGGATTTGCAGAGAAGGCAGAGTAGAACTACTGGGAGAGATAGGAGAAGAAACAGGAGAAAGTAGGGTCTCAGACCGAGATTATGAAGGATAAGGAAAGTGGTTGGTGATCAACGGTGGGGGAAGCAGCAGAAAACTCAAGGTTTATTAGGAGAAAATAGGATTTTATAGAAGAAACTGGATTTAGCAGCAATAAATCATCGGTAGTCATTCAATCTTGCATACACAACTCTCTCAAGGATCTTGGATGGTAGTAGTGAGATAGAGTGGTAGTTGGATGGGAGTTGGGGTCAAAGTTTTTTTTAAACAATCCGGATCATGGTTGTATGTTTGAGCTCATTCAATCTCTCCCTGTCCTCTGACATATTTTAGTAAGAGCAGAACAGGAGAAGGAAGAGTGTTAAAAAGATATGAGTGAATAGGATCGAAGGAACAGGTGTTGAGGTAGGAGAACCGAGGCAGAAACCTCTTCTGGTGTAGCAGTTGCGAGTGAGCATAGACAAAAGGAGGGAGTGTGGTTGGGGGAAGTATTGGTCAGGGTAGGGGAGAGCTTAGAGATCTCTTCCCTGATCGTGGAAATCTTCTCAGTGAATAGAGTAGCAAAATATGTAGCAGTCAATCTGCTGATTTTGGCTCCTAACCAGAACCCTATTCTGAAGCCCAAGCCTAAGCCTAAACATAATCCAATATTAAACCAAAGTGGTATCCTCTGATAATATCACACTTTTATTAGCAAATACTGAAATAAAACAGAGTGATATATTGCTGCCATCTACTGGCTATTTTCAGTATTACAAGCAGATGTGTTATACTCAAAATAGCAATTTCAATGTATTGTGATCTGTGTTGGGCAACTAGAAAAGCCTGGCACTGATCAAAATAGTATTGGGGCATGGAGTGAGACAATCCAGGGGGTCTCCCAAAACACCAGTTACACTCAAAGAACCACAGAGGTTAAACTTGATTGCTCAGCTGCAGTGTTCTCAGAGCGGCATATAGCTCATTAAAATTCTGGGGCTTACTAAAAAATACAGAGCGGAGCCCCAAGAGTCTATTGATACATTGGACTCCCTGATGTGTCCATTGTAGCAATAGAAATTTAAAACCCCATACAAATGACAGTTTGCAGAGCTCACTATGAATGCAGCAAACAAAACATCAGTCAGTCTGGGGGCCCGCTGATAAAGGGAAGTCCCAGCTATCTAATGATATCTGAGGTTTCCTTTTACAAGCAGGGACACAAATATTCTGTCATAGGTCGTTAAGGGAAGGACAACTAGAATATTTCCATTATCGAGTTCAAATCAAAGGCACTATATGTATGATCTTTTGGATCAACAGCAAAAAACAAATGTGAGGAAGGCTGAACTTGATGGACACAAGTCTCTTTTCAGCTATGTAACTATGATGAACTGCAGTGAGTGCAGGGGAATCATTACATAATTGCATCCTAATAGGACTAAACAATATCCAGTATAACCATCATTTTAAACTAAAGATTGTATAACCAGCAAAAAATATACTAAGCAATAATAGTAAAGGATAAATTGTGTATATAAAAAAAAAAAAAACACACCCCTAATTACATTAAAAAAAATATAATGCAAACTCCCTCCCACCCCCCCAAAAAAACCTTGAGTTTTGAATGAGACCAACTAGGCAGTGTCGCAATGATGGTTATAATGATACAGTCCTATTAAAGGGGTAGGGATGCAATACGTCATCTTAACTTACTGCACTTAATCACACAAACAGACAAGGGTTATTTATTGGATTTTGTTAACTTTACGATTTCTTTTTTTTTTTCTGGTGAAGGTGTTTATGCCTTGTATGCTCCATGAAGTTGATTAGCTCTAAATACACTATGGGTTTCTGATACCACTATTTCTCAAGTAAACATGTGAACTGTATAATTTAACATTTGGCTAGTGTGGTCTCACCAAAGCTTGAAGGACACCTGAAGGAGTCAAAACGTTGCAGATTATTTGTTGGGACTACAATAATAATAATAATAATAATTAAAATAATTATAGAAAAGGCTGTGGATTATGTTTGCATAATTTAGGTAACCGGAGGTGGAAACTGCTTGCCTATTGTATGCTGGTACGGTCTATCTACATAATCATGTGACTGATTTTGCCCCAGATGTTAGAGAAGGAAACTTAATTTCCCCTGTGCATGTACAAATCTATACTGCATAGACACATGTTGTTTGAGTCTTCACCTTCCCTGTGAGAGAGCTCTAGGGCTGCTAACTTACTTAGCAGTACCACTCAAATGTTCTAATTATTGGAACTGCGGCTAAGGCCTGACCTAAAAATTCAGACTTCACAGACCAAAATGGGAAGCTCTAGGCTGGCAAAGCCATTCAAATATCTTTCCTTCTGGCATAGCCTTACCTTCTGGTTTTAACAGAGAGTTTTCTGGAACACATACTGCTGGTAGATCTGGTGTCAGGGGAGAGTGGTTCTTATGATCTTTATCAGCAGCACTTCCATGCTTTTTATCTTTTTTCTTCTTCTCATCCTAGAGCCAAAAAAAAATAAAAACTATTAAACACTGCGTTAGCAGAATTTTTATCAAATATATACATTATGTAATAAATCACTGAGGATATAGTCTAGTCCCTATCAATCAATAGCCATCTATGACAAACATTACAACACTAATGTGCTAAAAAATGAAGTCAGTATCATGGGGGGGCAACCTGTTTGGAGTAGTTTCCAAGCAGAGCTTATTGTGTAGGAAGGGGGTGTTAGGTAGACAGGAGCAGAGAGTGAGTGCTACAATATAATACACATAGATCTTGCATGACAGCTGTAAGGTGGAGGAGGGGAGGCACTAAAGCCAACATGTTAGCATCAGGGGTTGGTGCAGCCTGATTTACTCTGCTTAGAACATTCCCCAATCACATAAAAAGGAAGTAGTCAGGAGCAAGGATTGTGTTACATTAGTTTAACATTCACAGACCCTCCATGGTGGCGGCACTGTCACTGCAGAAGAGGAGGTAAATGTTTAGATACCATCTCCTAAAGCAATCAAGTATACAATTTCTCACTAAGACAAAATGTACTACATAAGGATATGATCACTTAAAATAAAAGCTGTTATGATAGGTTCACATTAATAGTTTAATTTGAATAAGTCACCTAACTATTGTGCAAGGAAAGCACTTTAAAAACAAACTATTGGTGGCTTTGATGAGAAATGTAAAAATATTTTATGATTAAGAAAACGAATACCTCGAAATGCAGTAGTTAACTATTTACATGTTTTTTCATATGGTAATGGCTATTGTCCTGTTCAATGTATATGTGTTACTTTTTTGTTTCAGTTGGTTGGGACTCTCTTAACTAAATAGAGACTAGGGGACTAAAGCTTTAGGAATACAAACCTGTATTGCCAACGTTATAGCGTTCCTTTAAACAGGCTGACAGATTACTGGTTAAGGTGCTTAAAGTGTCCCTTTAAAAATATGCAGGAATATATTGATGTATTCCACCCAAAGTAAACCATACTTTTCAATAACATAATGCGTCAACAGTACCTTTTTCTTCTTCTTTTCCTCATTTTGAGATTCAACTTTCTCTCCTTTCTTTTTTTTCTTTTTCTTGTCTTTATGCTTGTGTTTATCATGATCAGACTTCTCATCATGAAAACTTTGAGGCAGAGTAGTAGCACAAGCTGTGGATAGTTCCTTTACCTCTCCAGTGCCCACTTTCAGAACCAGTTTTAAGGGTTTTTCCACATAGTCTGAAAGCATTGAATTAAAACATTTAGGTTAGATCGACATATAGTCTCAGGCATAAAACTATGAATGAAGAAGAAAGAAAACTTACATAGGGCTAAGAAATGGGAAAGAAAGATATGTGAGCTTTCTTTTTGAAATGTAAATAATTATAGTTATGTTGCTGACCAAACCTCTCACACACACACAACCATTTTATTCATAAAATCATGATAATATTTTATCTGTTTTAATATTTACAGACTGTAAATTACAAAAAAAAAAAAAAAAAAATATACAAAATTTTAAAAGGGACACTCCAAACACCATAACATATACCCTTCCTCTGTTATGATGCAACAAATTCCTGGTCTTTGACTTCACTCTGTCTGCATTATAACTACAGTGACTAAAGCTTGCTGTAGCATCAAGACCACACACACACACACATTATATATATATATATATATGTGCTAACACTTAATAAGCGAGTCAGTCTGTTTGAATGGCCCAGTACTACGTTTTCTTGCACATCTGCACTAGTCTCACACTGCTTGCCAAAGGGAAAGCATTGGATTGGCTGAGGTCATCAATCTTGATGATCTGAGCCAGGGAGGTGGGGCATGCATCCAACAAACTACTGTAGTGAGGGAGTAAAATTAAGTATAAATTACCATCTAAACCCTCACAGACACTTAAATAGGTAGGTTAACACTAAAGTGTTAGGAATACACATTTGAATTCTTTATTTTAAAAGGATTTTTAGTTTACAGAAAGGAAAAAAGCCACATATCACATGACAGTACACAATCGGTATTTCAACTTCAAGTAGGTTGCAGGTCTGTGACATCTTGCAGTCTTACATTGTGTCTAGTACATTACCGACCCTTTTGTGCTGCGTGGCCCACTTGCTACTGGTCTCGGGTTTCTGTTTGTATGGCAAATATCTTCAATATTTGGGTAGTGGAGGGTCCCTTTAAATGTTAAACAGTATGCGAATGGCCTAAGACTTACAATGCATCCCCAGGTGCCACACTCAGCATATCACCGGTTGACTGTCCCGGTTATTTATATTTAGAGATCTATCAGGGAAGGATTGAACAGCTCAGAGAGGGAGGGGGCAGTGTAGCCATTAGTCGTGAGTGTTGACAACCAATGCCAAATATGTACAGATTCCACATTAGCCAGTCCAGAACTCTCAAGCATTTTCTTGGTGTAATGCAAAACATACAAACTCCAAACACCATGACTGCTTTAAATCACTGAAGTGGTCATGGTTCTTGTATTAACCCTTTAATTGCATTATTTAGATACATAAATAATATATAAAAAATTGTGTCAACTTTAAGAAGTATCACTATGTTAAAATCCAATTATGCCTTAAAGTATCACTATAGTGTCAGGAAAACAAACCCGTTTTCCTGACATTAAAGTGCCCTAAGGGTGCCCCCACATTCAGGGTGTCGTCCCCCCCCCCTTGGCGCTGAAGGGGTTAAAACCTGTTCAGCAGCTTACCTTAATCCAGCGCCGGGCTCCTTCGGCGCTGGAGACCTCTTCTCCCCTGCCCTGCCGACGTCAGCTCCCGAGTGGAGCGGAATGCACATGTGCGGCAAGTGCCGAGCGCGCATTCAAACAGGCCATAGGAAAGCATTTCTCAAAGCTTTCCTATGGACGTTCTGCACGCTGGATGCGAATTTCGCATCCAGCGTCGCAGATGCGCCTCTAGCAGCTGTCAGGAAGACAGCCACTAGAGGTTGGATTAACCCTGCTATGTAAACATAGCAGTTTCTCTAAAACTGCTATATTTACATCTGAAGGGTTAAAACCTGAGGGACCTGACACCCAGACCACTTCATTGAGCTGAAGTGGTCTGGGTGACTATAGTGTCCCTTTAAATTCAGTTCTTAAAGGACCACTATAGGCACCCAGACCACTTCAGCTTAGTGAAGTGGTCTGGGTGCCAAGTCCCTCTAAGATTAACCCTTTCTGCTGTAAACATAGTTTCAGAGAAACTGCTATGTTTACAAATGGGTTAATCCAGCCTCTAGTGTCTGATTTTCACAGTAATAAGACGCTAGCGTCCATAGGAAAGCATTGAGAATACCCGGAAATGGGAAAAATGTTAAGGGATTAAACCCTTCCTCCCCCTAGAGCCAGGCAGGAGGGGGATCCAAGGACCCTATAGAGCCATGAAAACGAGTATGTTTTCCTGGCACTATAGTGGTCCTTTAAAGCAACTCTGTCCTACTCAATATTAGCATTTCGTAAATAATACATCTTTATGTAATATATAAACACCCCAGAAGGTGACAGAGCCGCTTTAATGTATAGAGGGAACAGAACTGTATAACGTAAAAAGTACCTATCAAGGTTCAAATAGGTTATACTAATTTTATACAGCACTCAATTTCACTTATACATTGTGCCAGCAGAATTGCTAGCAAATGTATAGAGCTGAGAAAAAAAATTAAAAAAAAACAAAACCCAACTGATCTTTCTCCCACCTATCAATCCTCAATGTATAAAATCCAACCCGAATTAAGAATATATGCTATAGACATTTCAGATATGGAGGCTGGACTCCAGTGTACCAAAGTAACTGTCAAACCAGCCGTTCACAAAACAGTTTCACTACTTACCAGAGTAAGGCGCCGGGGGACTCCTAGCACCGCAATTACTACAGAGTTTTGTAGTGTACATGCATATACTATCACTTTAAAATAATTTGCTGAATAATAATAATAATTAACAGGACCCAATATGGGTAATCTTTAATACGAAGTGATAAAGAGATAGTGCTAATCTACCAGTAGTTCTTTAGCTATACTTAAATCCCTGGAGGGATGAAATTACAGGCACAGGCAACCTTCGGCACTCCAGTTGTTTTGGACTACACCTTCCATGATGCTTTGCCCAGGTGTAAGAGCATTATGGAGGATGTAGTCCAAAACATCTGTCGTGCCGAAGGTTGCCTATCCCTGAAATATAAAATCAAATTCCTCAAAAGACAATGAAGAAGTGCACCCAATGCAGTGTTTACATAAAAATAAAATAAATAAACTGCAGGGCCAGGCAGTAGGCACCATAACAACTCCATTAAGCTGTAGTTGTTCTGGTGACCATAGTGTCCCTTTAAACAATAAGCCATTTTAACGTCCAGGTGTCAATGTGGCTGGAATGCCACTGGCATTGAATGGGTTAAACGAAGAGGCGGAGGAGGCTCTCTAATCCCAGTGTAGTTTAAATGGTGATGTATAAAGCATACAGCCCGCTCACCTCGTACCTCCCCCTTCCCCTCATATCCGTGTTTGTCCCCTTTGTGCTTCTTGTGTTTTTTCCCCATGTCGGCGCTCTGGCCTTTCAGCTGCCGTTTGCTCGCTGCCCCGGTGCTGACGTCACGTTTCCGCGCCGGTGCCTTCCTCTGCTGGTGCGGTAACCCGGCGGCGGACAATAGAGACATGTGTGGGCTTTCTGTTAGGATGCAACGTCCAGGCCGGGCTGTTGATGTGTGTGTTTGTATGTTCAGTGAAGCCAGCGCTGCAGAGCCCCCTAGTGGTCGGAGGAGCACATTGCAGCGCAGTCTCTGCAGTGCCTCCTGTGGTTCATGTAAAGTACTAATGTATTTATTTTGGCATTTCATGGGGGGTTATTCACTAAAATCCAAATGTTTTGCAGCCTAGACAGATGGCATGTCTCCCTACTCCCTATTAAGGAGGGTCAGCCCGTATTTTGGGCTCAGATTCCTCTGTCCCCCTTTTCTCTCCTAATATACCTTTTTTTTTTTTTTGTAGGAACTCAGTAATTTTGGCGTGTCTGGATTTTTTTTTTAACAGTGCTCCACTGCAGTAATACTCACTGTGACAAACACCCCATTCCACGTGAGTTTGTCACGAGCTCCCGGAGGAGCCTGCTTGGCAGCCTCCTGCCCACAGGCTATGGGCCCTGTAATATACACGGAAAAGTGTCAGTTCGTGTATTTGGACTATATGGTTCGGGAACCGAACAGCCGCACAAACCGGAAACAACCCGGGAGCTTGTTAAGTGTAATTGTTACTTTGTAGCAATTTCTACCGGAGTGTTCTAAGTGTTCGTCTGGGTGGTTGCATTTCCTATGGACGACCACAAGGTGGCGGCCATCTTGTTCGCATGAACACAGGCAGCTGTGTTTGGTCGTCGAGTTCATGGAACTATTTTCAGACACTGAAACTCCTGAACACCGCTGGACTTCCATGATCGCCTTTTGTAAGACTTACGAAGACACTGTTCGGTGGAAATGTTCCCACGAACAAGGTGAACAAGCTCTAGGGTAAGACTATTGACTATATTCGGTATTTTGTTCATTTTTAAAATACAATAGACCATGTGCACGGTCGGTCAAATTATGACTTCCAGGGAAATCTCAAACCCCTGAACAGATCTGGGTGGTTTTTAGAAATGTTGGTCCTCCAGATCGGGGCTATTAGGGGATGTAACCTTTGTGGGTTTTTTATGTGTTTTAAGGGTATTTTGGGGGTTTTGTAATATTGTATGTTTTTCTATGCCTGGAGATAATTGAGTTAGTTCAGTTCCTGACTCCTTTATTTCTCAGGCACAAAGGATGAGTTTGTAACTTTTAGCTAGTCCCCTCTCAGGTCCAAAAGAAGGATTATCCTGTTTGTGTGGAAGTGTCAGGGGCGTGCCTAACTTTAACTGAAATTGTATAACAGCAGGCCATCTGGCCAGATTAAAACATTCCAGTTTGAACTCCCAGAACTATGTGTCGTCTGGTTACTGGGAGGGGAAAGGGCTAATATCTACTCCAGCTTGTTCCAGTGTGGAGGATTCAACGGGAAAGTCCTTGTAAGGACTAGAGCTCACAGGACTGAGTGTCGTCCAGTGCCTGGAGGTGGATAGAGCGAGTTCCCTATTTAGCTCCAGGAGGGAGTGGTTCCAGGGCCCCAGTCAAGCCACGGCGACTGTGGGTAGAGGTGCTGCAGTTTGTCCCCTGTTCTAGCTAGGAAGCGGTCTTTGGTGGAGGTACCCATCCAGTGGTACAGGGAACTCCGTTACACTCACAGTAATATGTTTTTTTTGACAGAAATAAATGTGTTTGGAAAGCAGTCTGTCTAAATTAGATACATTTTGCAGGCCCTCTTGGATGTATTCCATATAGACAGCACCTTCTTAATACTGCAGGGCCATCTCTTATTTAACGACTTAAAGCTGTGCTGAGGGTCTGGTAGGACAGGCATAAATTAATTCTTCTTACCTGAACATGTCCTTCGCAGGCGCCGCCATCTTAACCCAGCCCCTCCATGTTTCTCTTCCCCAGCCCCTCCATCTGTCTCATTTACCCTTAGCCCCTTTGTGTGTCTCATCCCCCTCCCAGCCCCTCCATGCGTCTCATCCCTCCCCCAAGCACCTCCAATGCGTCTCATTTCCTCCAAATCCTTCTATGCGTCTCATCTCCCCCACAGCCTCTCCATGTGTCTCATTCCCCCCCTAAGCCTCTCCGTCAGTTCCTCCCCATCCCACATGTGTCTCCTCACACCCCACGTGTCTCATTACCTACCCCTCCTCTATTTGTCTTACCTTCTTCCTTGTAGCATGGCCGAGCTTCTGTTTCCTATAACCAATCTGACAGGAAGCAGTTCAGCGCTCCATGCACGCACTTCCAGTCAGACCGAGTAGGGGATAGAGAAACTCTTCAGCGGCTGAGCCATGCTACATTTAGTGATTGGCAGGACAGGAGTGCCTGTGCTCCTCTCCTCCCAGTCAAATGGATCCCAAGCCCCCCGGGCTGTTGCGCCCACCTGTGCCGCCTTATGGTAGCTCTGGCCCTGCCTGGCCACGCTACACTCAGTGACTGGCAGGAGAGGAGTGCTGTGAGCTTCCCTCCTGCCCATCACCTGGACATTTGCTCCCCCCTATAAATAGGGTTTGAACAGCAACCTTGTTTTCATATATTAATACCTTAATTACTCTTCAAGGATTGATTTTTATTATTTGTGGCGGGACCTGTTTGTGAATTGCTGTGTGTATTCCCTGTGTCTTCCCCCGTATTGTATTGTATTCCTGTGTTCTACCTACTCCCCAATCGGGAGAACCCAGACGAACGGGTTCTGTTCACCTCCCAAAATGGGACCACCTCGATAACCCATTTAGAATGTTCACACATTGTTGACGAGGTGTGAAAACTGTAAGGGAAGCCTTGGCGCATGCTGACCCTGGGTGGCGGCCCGTTCGTTAGATGAACGCCATCCAGGGGGAGCATTCACGGACTGCATCCCGCCTCATTCGGCACCCGAACTAGGACCTCCCCAGTGGCCTTCGGAGTGTTCACACCAATCAATTAGAACGTTCACAACTTGCAACATAAGTGTGAATCTGCAAGGGAAGTAACTAATGGGCATTTCTCTGGGTGGCCGTACAGACGAACACCGGTCTGGGGAAGTGTTCGTGTCCCGAAAGGAGATGCTTCCCTTGCCTGGTTTCACCCAGGAACCACGCAAACTGAGACGGTTCGTGACGGTTACCGTTCTGGGCATCCCTGAGATTGGTGGGGACACTTATGGGACAATGGTGGTTTGGTGGATTGTCTGTGCCTGGGAGCCCAGAAGCAGGAATCTTTCCAATGCTGGGACTCCCAGGTACAGAGGGTCCTGGGAAGAAGACCAAGGGACAGGAGTTCCTGTCACACACACACATGGACAAGGGTCCACCCCTTATGATCCACCCCTTGCATGAGGAGAGTATAAAGCCGAGTGTGGCCAATAAAGTGTTGTTGTACCCCTGGAACTGTGTGTCATCCAGTTGCTGGGGAAGATGGGTCTCTTAAATCATTTATAGCGGGCGGTAACCAGCCGGGTTACCCAGGGCCCGCTACTAGGAATGTGCATGGGCAAAAAATGTGGTTTGTTTTGGCACTTCTGAAATTCGTGACTTTGGCAATATGGCACTTCGGGAATTCGACACTTCAGGACCTCGGCAATTACCTAACTCTACCATTAACTCTAACCCTACCCTCCGAAGCACTATGGTACTTTCGAAATTCGGCAATTCGGTTCAGTTCGGCACTTCCAAAATTCGGTTCGGCACTTCCGTACTTAGGCAATTCAGAAGTGTCCGAATGTCCAAAATTTGTCCGAATTTAAATTCAGACCGAAACGAATTGCACATGTCTACCTACTACATTATTAATATTGCCATTTATATAGCGCCAGTAGATTCCATAGCACTTTACAATATTATAAGATAAGAGGGGAGATTTAACTATAAATAGGACAATTACAAGAAAACTTACAGGAACGAGAGGTTGAAGAGAACCCTGCTCAAACGAGCTTCCAATCTATAGTGTTAAATAATTTTAAAATCCAACATTTTAATTACACAAAACTTTATTTTACATAGTTCAAGAGATATGTGATGACTGTCGCTTAGACATATGGAAAATAAGAAATTTTTTTTGCCAGAAAAATTGAAATAAAAAAACAAAACTCAGTATGAAATATGTTCTCTTACAATAATAAATAACATGTTTATGACAGTGTTTACATAATCTCCAATATCATTTCTAAAACCATAGACTTTTATGAAAAACTATTACCGTATATACTTGAGTATAAGCCGACCCGAATATAAGCCGAGGCCCCTAATTTTACCACAAAAAACTGGGAAAACTTATTGACTCGAGTATAAGCCTAGGGTGGGAAATGCAGCAGCTACTGGTAAATTTCTAAATTAAATTAGATCCCAATAAAATTACATTAATTGAATATTTATTTACAGTGTGTGTATAGAATTAATTCAGAGTGTGTGTTTGTGTGTGTATATAATGAATGCAGTGTGTGTTTGTGTGTGTATATATAATGCAGAAAGTGTGTGTGTGTTGTGTGTGTGTGTGTGTGTGTATATAATGCAGTGTGTATATAATGCAGTGTGTGTGTTTGTGCAGTGTGTGTAAACTGGATGAGGGGAGGGCATTTTTATTTAAATTTTTAAATTTTATTATTATTTTATTATCATATTATATTATTATATTATTATTATTTTAATATTATATTATTTTAATAATATTATTATTATTTTAATATTTTCATTATTGTCCCCCCTCCCTGCTTGTTGCCTGGTCAGGGAGGGGGGGACAAATTTTGTTTTAAAAAATAATGCAAATATTAAAATAATATAATATTATTATTTTAATATTATATTATTTTAATATTATTTTATTATTATTATTTTAATATTTGCATTATTTTTTTTTTAAATGTTTTTTGTCCCCCCTCCCTGGCCAGGCAACAAGCAGGGAGGGGGGACAAAAAAACATTTAAAAAAAAAATGCAAATATTAAAATAATAATAATATAATATTATTTTATTATTATTAAAATAAAATAATATTAAATCCCTGGTGGTCCAGTGGCATTGGCAGTTCAGCTCGTTGTCAGCCCCCAACAGGACCGCCGGGCTTGTAATGAGCCCGGCGGTCCTGGTCTGTATTGTGGCAATGTAAATTGCCATAATACAGACTGACTCGAGTATAAGCCGAGTTGGGGTTTTTCAGCACAAAAAATGTGCTGAAAAACTCGGCTTATACTCGAGTATATACGGTATATTTTTCTTTTCTACTGAGATATTTTTTAAAGTTTCTAATCACTGCAATTCTTTACCCTGAAGACAAGCAAATCCTGGAATACAATTCAAATTTTAACATGTTGTTTTTACTAAAGTGAGAATTCAAAGTCATTCTCAAACTCTAGGTAAAAATAGCCAACCTGGAAACATTCCCAATGTCAATTATTCTTCAGGTTTGGCTACTTTGGCATTATATTTGGAAATCCCTTATGAATTCTCACTTTCGTGAATAACCCTGTAGGAAAATACTGAGAATGCAATTCTCAAATCAAAAGAGAAATATGCATTTCTGTCACTAGGGGCACTGCATTAACCCCTTAAGGACACAACTTCTGAAATAAAAAGGAATCATGACGGAATATTTCCATCATGTGTCCTTAAGGGTTTCAATTTATTTTGTTTGTATTGTTAACTGACTTGTTTCTGTCCACTTAGTTAGGCCTTGAAGCGGCTCTGTCCCTTTTCAGAATTTCATGAACATATATCATTTATGAAATTCTGAGCGAGACTGCATTTCAGACTGCATGCAATCCAATATATCATAAAATAGGGACAAAAGGCGGAGCTCCACCGTTAACTTTGACCAATTCCAGCAGCCCACAGAATTGACACCTGTGGGATTCATACATCAATCTATGGAGGCTCCATGGTCTCCTCCATAGACCTCAGTCCTGTAGTTGTTTGAATGCAGCCTCAGCACCCAGGCAGATTCGGTAATTTCCAAGGATCTTTGTGACATATGCAAAGTGATACTATAGGCACCCAGACCACTTCATCTCAATGAAGTCATCTGCATGCAGTACCCATATCATTTTAGTCCTGCATTTTTCCATGGCAGTCCACTGCAATGTTTTCATTGCAGGACTGGGCTATACACACCTCTTGTAGCTATATTTCTGAAAGCCACTAGGGCAACTCACCTCCTCTGAATGCGTGTTCTTGTCCCCAATGCTTCAATGAAAAGCATTATATTGTATGAGAACATGGAAAAATAACACCAGCAATATTACATTGCCGGAGAAAGAAGAGCAGGTGTCTGCTGGAAAAGAGGTAAGCCAACACCTTCCATATTGGAGATTGTCAGGAGACTGTAGGTGAGGATTCCTGGTCCAGAGTTACAACACTCTGGTTTACCTCACCTGCAAAAGATCATAGAAACATATACATAGAACCATTCGGCCCATCTAGTCTGCCCAATTTTCTAAATACTCTCAT